GGAGGGGCGCGCCGAGCATGCGCGCGGCGGCCGCCGGGTGACGTCGCGGCGGGCCCGGGCGGGCGCGCGCCAGGTACCTGCCGCTCTCCTCCGGGCGCAAGCCGTGTGCACGCGGATGCAGCCCTGCGGCTGACGGCGCCGCCACCCGCTCACAGGGCCGGGGCAAGTTCGGATTCTAGCGCTGACGGCCGTCCCCGTTTGCGGCCCCCAATCAGAAAGCCCCAGTCAGCAAAATGAAACCAAGAGCCATGGCAGGGACAGGAGTCAGAGAGGTCCTTGAAACCCGTGAGACATCTCAGGGAACGCGCCACTGCGCCCCGAAATAGGACATTCCTTAGAAAAGACAGGAAACGGGAAAATGAAACCACCATCATTTCTCAAATCTGAAGACCGACGTTTGGTCTTCAGCAAGTGGCGTAAGAATATCCTGTTAAGTAGCTAATAAATTCCTGGGACCCTGGGTAATGTTTTTGCAATTTCCTGTGCGTCTACATTGTTTCGAAATAAGGTTTTCTGCGTCTGTGTACTTTTGTTGGTTTGTTTAAATGGACATGACAGATCTGTGGTGACCACTGGCAGATGGGGAAGGGGATACCTTTAAAAGGGGCTTAGAATTTGGAAGGTCTGTAGAACTCTTCAGGTTTTGATTGCTGCTTTTATCGATGATTAAGTCACTATTTTGTCCAAAAAAAAAAAAAAAGTTAAATTTTGCCACATGCAAAATAATTTAAAACAATATTTTTAAAATGAACTTCAGCTAACATTTTTGAGCAACAATTAATTGGTAGCCCTTTGCCTTTTTTTTTTTTTTTTTTTTTTTAATTAGACAGGAATGTGTAGCATAGGCTAGCCTGGAACTATAGATACTCCTACATTCACCTCTGAGTGTTAGGATTAAAAGCCTGGGACACCTTAATCTGTTTCTATTTGATATCTTTGTTTGTTTTGAAGTATAAGAAGTTATTTGTAGGGCATGGTGGCCCATGCTTATAATCCCAGCACCCAGTGAAATAATGGTGGGACAATAGGAGTTCAAGGCCAATCTGGGCTAGATAGCAAGTTCTAGAGCAGCCAGAGTTTTATAACCTTTCTAAAATTAAAAAGTTACCAGAAGCTTTCCCAGGCAAAAATACAGATCATTTATTTACCATACTACTATACTCAAAATTTTTGGATATTTACCATGCATTATCCCATGTTAACTCAAGCCTGGCTTCTGTATCAGAGCCACTTTTAAATGTTGTGATTCACCCACCAAAAACAAAGAAACAGGATGTAAGTCAGGTCAGCTCTTTGCAGTTCCCTTGTACCATTCACAATGAAGAGTGAATCTAGTTTGTGTGTTTGCAAACAGTGTGACAAAGCTCCTGAGGGCATGGGTTCTTAATCATAGCATCCCTACATTCAAGTGAGACACCTGATTAGTATTCATTGAATAAAACAATGAAATAATCACAAAATTGGAGGAAGAAGGCTCAAATTTATTGAACACTTACTACTACCATTCCTCATAGGCTTTTGTTTACCCCTTATATTTTGAATGCCTTTTTTTTACCCTTTTTGCCTGTGTGTGTGTGTGGTTTCTTGAAACAAACTTGTTATGTATGTTTGATTGACTCGTTTCAAAGTCAAGACAGCTCTGAACTCCTAACAATCCTTCTGCGTCAGCCTTCTAAATACTGATGGTACAGGCATGTGCCACATCTGTCTGCATGTACATATTTAAACATGACCTTCTAGAATTTGAAACTTCAGGCTTTTTTCTTTGTTTGTTTTGTTTTTAGTCTTTGTTCTGGAGACATAAATGAATGAAAAATGGGGTTATAGAAGCTGTTAAATTAGAAGTCATTTTCAGGGCTATGGCTGTACCTCACAGGTAAAACACTTGACTGCCCTTTGTGAGGCCCTGAATTCCACCCCAGAAACAGGGGAGTGTGGAGAAGAAGGAAGAGGAGAAGGAAAGAAGAAAAAAAGAACATTACCTTGAAGCCGGAAGGGCTTGGTGTAAACCTAAATGTATAACAGAATAAAGCAGTTGGCAAGCAAGCCTAGAGAGATAGTTAAGGTTACTGGTTTCTAGTGTGCCAGGGTAATCAAAAGAGGAAGAGTGAAAATACAGAATACAGGAACTTATTAGGGTAGTGAGATTATAATATGATATTCCAATCATGGCTGCACGATCTTACACATCTATAAAAACCCATAAAACTGAACAACACTAAAAATAAACCCAAATGTCAATTATGGGATTTTGTTAATAATGATATATTGAAACTAGTGCATTGGTTTTGGTGAAATTCTGCATGTGGTATATGGAAAATCTATGCTAACTGTTCAATTTTCTGTAAGTCCATTTTTTTTTCTACAAAGAAATTTAAGTCTTTAATTAGTAAATTGATTCTGCAAACCAGGTGTGGCAGCACATACCTGCTAATCACAGCTCTCAGAAAGCAATGGGTGTTGCCATGAGGGTGAGTCCTGGCTAGTCTACCCAGCAAGTTCCAGGCTCTTTGCTGTAACCAACAGAATTAGCCATGGGACTGAAGTCTGTGGTTTGGGGCTGCGGCTGCTTACTCTTATTGTTGTTACTGTCTTTTGTTACTGGATTTCTTTTGGACCAGGCTGACTTGGAACGTAATATGTAGCCAGCCCAGTGTGGCCAAAAATGCTTGAGCAAGCCTCTGTCCCCAAAAACTGACATTACAGGTTAAAACCCTACATGTGGCTCAGGATTGCTCGCTCGCTCTCTCTCTCTTTTTTTTAAGATTTATTTATTATGTATACAGTGCTCTGTCTGCACGTATATCTGCATGCCAGATGAGGGCACTAGATCTCATTATCGATGATTGTGAGCCACCTTGTGGTTGCTGGGAATTGAACTCATGACCTCTGGAAGAGCAGCCAGTGCTCTTGTCCTCTGAGCCATCTCTCCAATCCCCTCAGAATCTCTTTTTTGAAGGTCTAGTTTGTACTAGGAAAAGCATATCATATATCAGAAAATTACTATTTGAACAATTTAACAATCAGACTATTTAGTGGATACTGTCTATGTCTTATTTCAAGGGACAGTTTTGTTTTGTTTTGTTTTGTTTCCTTTCAAGCATTGAAGATATTTTAGAACTATGAAGTATCTTTCAGGTTTACCAGAGGAACTCAATGGTTTGAAAGGTTCATTCTACCAATGGTCTGATAGTATCAGAGTGGTTGATTTTTTTTTCCTCTGGAATTGGTTGGAAGAGTCCTAGTTTCCTTTGGTGAGGGAGGATTTGGGGAATGTCTCACACTGTAGACCAGAATGGTCTCCTGGTCTCATTGATTCTCCTCTCCCACAAACTCTTCAAAGTGCAGGTTCAGTCACCCTGTGCTGTCAGGGCCCTGGTCAGAATTCCCCTTTAGTCACTGCAAGATAGCCTCTCCGTAGGATTTTCCACTTACCATCCAGGAGAAGAAAATACCCTGAGCCCAGTGAGACAAGATCAGTGTGTGTCCTAGGGCACACTGTCATATTTAGAAGGACCTGATGCTCTTGTTCAATAACTGTCTATTTCCTTTAATGCTGCATATTGTGTCTCCCGATCAGAAATTAATTCCGCTTCTAGGGCTGAGTTATGTGTTGACACTGATGGCCACAATGAAGTGCGTTAAAAGGCGTTTAGCCTGCAGCCCCAAAAGCCTTTGTATAGATTTAATTTGGAGCAAATCAAGTGTTTCACTTACGCAATGCCTCCCTTTGAGCCATCTCTCAAAATATATAGCAATAATAGCACATTTGCCCCATCATGTGCATTATTTCATAGCATCATCAGCCTGGAGTCAAGAAGTTGTAGAGCATAAATTTTTTGTGTAATCTGGGGCAGCTGCCTTTTCTGAATCTTGGGGTGTGTAATTCTATAAAATAGAAGTAGTGACTGTTTTAGTGACTGCCACATTTTGCTATTTGAGTTAAGAAAACACAAGATATTATCATCTATGTAAGGCTTTTTATTATAACACAAAGAATGCTGTCTATAAGTTTTAAGAGATTACAGTTGATTCTGATTTTACAAGGGCACAAATTATTTCAATCTTTTTTAATTTTTATTTTGGAAAAGAAGTTTCTCTACTACACTGTGAAAACCACAGTGGGCATGGCAGTAACAGAAGAGCCACCTGCACATAACTTTAGCCTTATTAAATATGTCTTCAACATAAAGGTGAGTTTATCTGACTGTAAATGTGTTGTGATGTTTTGTAAAGGGAACAACAATTCAGAAATAGAGCCCAACTTTACAGGAAGAAAACACTGTGATCCAGTCCTGCAACTAACAGTCAAGATCTATATGGTGGCTCATACCAGTAATCCCCAGCACATGGAGGCTGAGGCTGGAATATTATAAACTTGAGGCTAGTCATTAATAGAATATCTGACCAACCAAGACTACACAGACCAAGACTCCACAACCAAGACCCTGTCTCAAGACCTCTCCCCATTAAAAAATTGCATAAAAGCCAGTGGGAAATAACCACAATTATCCAACTGATTAATTCCAAACTCTTGGTATCCTACTTTCTGCAACCAGT